TTTAAAACTTCTTTATAGAGTTTAGATATTAACCTTCTTTCTCATGAATGGCTGGTGAGTTTCTCCCATTTGTAGCTGCCTCTTTATTCTTGTGGCTGTTTCCTTTGCTGTGCAGAAACCCTTTGATTTCACGCAGCCACTTGCCAATTCCTGCTGTCATTCCCTGAGGTTTTGAAGTGATTTTCAGGAAGTACTTGCCTGTGCCTACATTTTGAATTGTTTTCCTCTAGCAGTTTCAGGTTTTACATACAAATGTTTAAAATTAAAATTTATTCTGTGTGTGCATAATGTACGTGGACATGCGTGTGGAGGTCAAAGGACAACTTGTGGGATCAGTTCTCTCCTTATACCGTGCTTGTTCCAGGACAGAACTCAGGGCTTGGTGTCTTTACCTGCTGAGTTGATTGTGTGTGTGTGTGCATGTGTGCAGGGTGAGGCACAGAGCTTGTTTCATTCTTTTACATGCAGATGCCCAACTTTCCCAGTAATACTTGTTGAAGAGGCTATCTCTTATTCAACATGTTTTTGACACCTTTGTCACAGATTAGGAGGTGGCTGTAGCTGTGTGGGTTTATTTCTGAGTCCTCTCTATTCCATCAGCCTACATGTCTATTTTTGTGCCAGAATTATGCTGTTCTTGATACTATTGCTCAGCTCTCTCATATAGTTTGAGATCAGGTGTTGTGCTATTACCAGCACATTTTTATTTGATTGCTTTAGCTAAAAGGGGTATTTTGTATTTCCATAAGAATTTGAGAAATACTTTCTGAATATAGAAAAGCTACTGGTTTTTATGTTGATTTTGTATCCTGCTACACTGCTGAAAGTGTTTATCAGATCTAAGGGTTTTCTGATGTAGCCTTCAGGGTCTTTTAAGTATTTACTTAAATACTGTTTGCAAATAGGGATGGTTTGACTAATTCCTTTCCTGTTTGTTGTCTTGTTTCTTTTGTTTTATGCTCTAAGCCTTTGAACACTACAAGTGAGAACCCTTGTCTCCGATCTTCCAGGAAATGCTTTCAGTACGTCCCTATTTAGCTACAGGCTTGGGTATACAGTCTCTATGATGTTGAGGATGTTTCTTCTATTTTAGTTTCTCTAGAACTTTTATCATGAGGATGTTGAACTTTGTTGAGGGCTTTGTCTATATTGATTAAATCATGTGCTTTGTGCCCTCAGGTCTCTCTTACATGCTGAACTACACTTAATGATTTGTGTATGCCGAACCATTCTTACAGTTCCTGAAATGAAATGATTTAGTCACGATTGTATGAGCTTCTTAATATGCTCTTGAATTTGGTTTGCAAGAATTTCACTGAGACATGTATAAATGAAACTAGAAAATGCATTGAGAAAAAAAAAACCAAACCACGAGTTTTAAAAACATGTAATAAAGTAAAAATAATTCTAAGGACTTTATTAAAAGTTGGAATGGGTTCTTTAAGTTCTTTGGAATATGCTTGGTTACATGAATGGGTTGGATGAAAGGTCATTTGAACTTGTGGACGCTTGAGCCTTTTGGCAAGTGTCTGATGTCTGCTTGAATTGGCTTCACCTGGGAACCTCTCTTCTTTATACACCAGGGGCCTCTGCTGGCCACATTTAGTTTTGCAGCCTGTTTGGTCAAGTTCTCCCACCCTCCTGACATGTCGCTGGGAGAGGGGGAAGCCACCACACAGTGAGATCTGAACCTGTCTTCATACTTTCAAACTCTTCTAAGCATTAATCACCCGCTGGGAGGATGCAGCTGTGGATGTCAAGTCTTCCACTGGGGCTCCGTAGTTCCAGACTCTAGCACTGAACCTCATGGTGGATAGCTGGCTCTGGAGGCTTGCCCACTGCAGGCCCCAGCCCAGGGTTACCCAACTCTTACTCAGTTGATGAGGCCTGCTTCCAGGCTCTGATGGGGCTACCTCTCCCTGCACACTTCAAGTCTGAGCTGGGCATCCTGCTACCTGCCCTGTTCAGGTTTTCAGTGTCTGGTCCTCTTATGCTATTCAGTTCTCTCCCAGGACTCTCATCCCGGGAAGGTGGTACGTTGAATTTAGACTTGAGAACTTGTGATTGTCTCTTGTTCTCAGGCCCACTTAGCTCGGTTATAAACAACAGGTTTCCTCTCGAGATGGCCTAAGAGCTAGGGAAGTCCTTAGATACCCTGGAGCTGGAGTTACAGGTAGCTGTGAGCAGTCTGACATGGGTACTGGGAACTGAGCTTGGGTCTTCTCCAAGAGCAGTACATGGTCTTAACCTCTGGGTCGACTAGCCAGCCCTTGGGAAGTCCTCTTAATGCTAAATTATCCCATTGGAGAACTCACTGTCCTAGCAAGGACCCCAACTGGCCTGGAGGCTTTATGAAAGCTGTAGGCTTGTTCTGTGGTTGGACAGTTGGATCCTCTGAACCAGGACTGCTGACTTAGGGAGAGTCATGGGTGCAGATGCATCTGGCTTGGCTTTCTTCTGGTTGGTACAGTGCTCCCATTTCTCAACTTTTCAGTCATCCTATCTTCCCTACTGTGAATTTCTGAAGGGCTCCCTCTTTTTCTGTCTCTCAGATAGTCTATTTTTCTTAACCTTTTTTCCTGCTTCATCAAGTCTTATGGAGGTTTCTTGTAAATGACAATCTTAACTGGGAGTCTTATTATATCTCAAGAATATAAACATCCATATTCATATTGACTTTACAATGACTTTAATATAAAAAGATACGGACTGGAGAAATGGCTCCCATGCTGAGGGTGGGGGGCAGCTCACAACCACCTGTAACTCCTGTAGCAGATCTGATGCCCTCTTCTAGCCTTTTCGGACAACCTCACACATGTGGTCTACACCCAAACAGAAACACAGGACACAAAAAAATCTTAAAAAAAAAAAAGGATACTAGAATTCCAGATGAAGGGGTCTAGAGAAATGGTTCAGCAGTTAAGAGTACTTATTGCTCTTCCAGAGGACCCAAGTTCAGTTCCCAGCACCCACATTAGGTGGTTTACAGCCACCTGTAATTCCAGCTCCAGGGGATCCAACACCCTCTTTTGGCCTCTGTGGGCACTTCCATTGCCCCCATGGTGGGCGCGCGCGCACACACACACACACACACACACACACACAAAATATCATCCAGATAAAGCAGAGACATGGAAGCAAAATGTGAGAAAAAAAGCCTAAGAGCAAATTGAATTTTACTGACGCAATTTGACCATATTTATCAAGATTAAAATGTACAAAAAGCCCAGCAATCCAACTGCTAGAAATTTACCCACTTGGTATACTTTTACAACATACATTGTAAGGAAAGAGTGCAGAATGGTTGGTAACTGCAAAACCATGAAAACAGCCTGAACCTATCAACAGGGAACTAGTTTAATTATGGCATACACAGACGATGGAGTACAAAAACAGCCATTTAAAACATGAGGTAGATTAACATGTTACACATATGTACTGAAATGGAATGATCTTCAAGGTATACTGAAAAGCTAGGTGTGGGACACATACCTATAATTCCAGCACATGGGAGGTAGAGGCAAGAGGATCAGGAACATAAGGTCATCCTCAGCTATACAGAATACAAGCTAACCTGGGCTACAATGAGACTAATCAAAAATAAAACAAAAAACTGCCCCCCAAACCCCAACTAGAATATATTATGTAGAAGCGTCTTGGGCTGGAAAGATGGCTCAGCATTTACAAGCACTTGCAGCTCTTTTCCAGAAGACCTGAGTTCAGTTCCCAGCACCCATGTAGGGCAGCTCACAACCGCCTGCAACTCTAGCTCCAGGGGATTCAATGCCCTCCTCTGGCCTCCAGTGGCACTTGCCCACACACATGGACATATATTCATTCACACAGACGTACATATAAATAATTTAAAATAAAAAAAAAGAGCATCTATTTTGAAAAAGATAGATCAGGTTATCTTAAAAAAGGGAAAATACTGAATGAACAGTGCATCAGCAAAGAAAAACAGTATTTCAGGGCATACTGAAATTCATTTTTAAAAAAATTTTATTATTTTTTATTTTATGTGTATGTGTGCATTGCCTGCATGTAGGTAAGCGCACCCATGTCGTGCAATACCCACGGAGGTCAGAAGAAACTGTCGGATCCCCTAGGCCTGGAGTTATGGACAGTTGTTAGCTGCCATGTGGGTACTGGGATTTGAACCCGGGTTTTCTGCAAGAACAACCAATGTTCTTAACCGCTGAGCCATCTCTCCAGCCCCTGAAATTAATTTCTTATTAACACTGGGGCCAGCAACATGGCTTAGCAGATAAAGGCTCTTGCCACCAAGTCCAACAACCTGAGTTCGATCTCCTGGTGGACAGAAAGAACCAACTCCCTCAAGGTGTCCTCTGACCTCCACACACATACAAATACACAAAAGAAATAAATTTAATAAAATATTATAAATATTGTTAACTGTGATTATTTTTAGATAGTATAATAAAAAGTGGGTAAGGTAGCGAGAGTTTTCTTTCTATACAATTCCACACTGGTTACTATTCTAGCATTAAATTTATAACATTATTTCAGTAGGGGTTAAATACATAGACAGAACTTGTCTGCTTTTCTGTATTTTAAAAAAAGCAACAATTATTTACACATATACACACATGGATGTTAAAAAAATAAAAAAGATATGTGTATACACAGATTGCTGAGTTTAAGCACAAGGACACACCTGTTTTCTTTCTGTACATGTCTCTCTTGTTTGTTTTGAGGCAAGGACTCATATAGCAGAGGGTGACAAACTGCTGATCTTTCGGCCTCTCAAGTGCTGGGATTATAAGCATCTACCACCAAGCTATGGTGCTTAGTGTTTCAGAGTACAGACTACAGCTCAGTTAACATTACATGAAGATTTTAAAACACTTCATAAAAACTCACAAAACTTTACATATCATGGCGATGCATGTACACACAGTATCAAGGAGCAGAGGAAGCTCCTTGATACTCTCTCATTGAATGCTTTCTTACTCCACATGATCTTTTGTCCTTACAGAGCCTCACACTTCAGTTTCAGAGGCTGGTCTTCGGATCAGGTCACCAAAATAAGCAGTGATCGTCTTTAATTTATTGTTAAGAAAGTTCTGTTCTATTTCCACTTGCCCTCCAGGCCCAGCTAAGGATGCCACCTGCAAAGAACACAGAATGAATTAAGTCACATGAACACAAGTGTGATTTCCAAGTAGTTCCCCCACCCCTCCCAATTCATACTGTTTAATCCACAGTGATCTCTCCTCAATGCTACAAACTACAGATTCAGAGGAAAAGAAAACAGACAAGCCCCGTACATGCTACAAACTACAGATTCAGAGGAAAAAAAACAGACAAGCCCCGTACATGCCATATCTATTTAACAGGCTTTTAAAAAAATGCTTTATTTGGCCGGGCGTGGTGGTGAATGCCTTTAATCCCAGCACTCGGGAGGCAGAGGCAGGCGGATGTCTGAGTTCAAGGCCAGCCTGGTCTACATAGTGAGTTCCAGGACAGCTGGGGCTACAGGGAAACCCTGTCTCAAAGACCAAAGAAAAAAAAATTTTATTGTTTTTATGTGTCTCAGCATATTGTGTGCATGTAGGTAGGTGCACTCACGCTGTGCAATGCCCATGGAGGTCAGAAGAGGGCATCAGATTCCCCTGGAACTGGAGTTATGGAGCGTTGTTAGCCACCATATGGGTGCTGGGCATCGAACCCAGGTCCTCTGCAAGAGCAGCCAGTGCTCTTAACTGCTGAGCTATCTCTCCAGACTTTTAAGAATAATCCACTTTCCTAAGAATATTTTCTTAAATTGTTTAGTTACATTTAAATTTATTTATTTTTGTGTACATGTGTGCCATGGCATGCCTATGGAGGCCAGAAATAACTTGTGCGGGCCAGCTCCCTCCTTCCACCATTGTGGGTTCTGGCGATCAAACTTAGATCATCAGGCTTGGTAGCAAGCACTTTTACCAGCTTAGCCACCTCACCTGCCTCTAAGAACCTTTTTCTTGCTTATCTTGTCATCATCATGTTACTCTCTCAGCACTCTTTAGTGATTTACCTCGTGGGGGCTGCATGATATAGGAACACAGGGAGGAAAACAGCTCAAATCTAGGCCACCATCCTCACTCTCACGAGGCTAAAAGTCTTCACTAACGTATTTTTTTTTTCTACTTACCTCTTTAATGGTTCTTTTACTGTGAGCTACCTCCTCTACCTGTTGTTATTTTGTTACTTTACATCTTAAAAAATATAAATATAAGCTGGGTGTTTTGGCACACGCCTTTAATCCTAATACTTGGGAGGCTGTTGCAGGTGGATTATCTATGAGACCGAGGCCAGGCTGGTGTACACACACACACATACACACGTATATACACTGCTGTTTTTTAGATCTACTAGAACAATAGCTACTGGACAGCTTCAGTCGTCAACTTGAAACACCTGGGTAGAGGGAATCCCAACTGAGGAATTGCCTCCACTGGACTGACCTGTGCCCATGTCTGTGGGGCATTTCCTTGATTACTGAGTGATGTGGGAGGACCCAGGCCACTATAGGCCACAGTGCCACCCCTGGGCAGGTAGTCCTGTGTTGTATAAGAAAGCAGGCTGAGCACAGGCCAAAGGAGCAAGCCAGTAAGCAGCATTTCTCCATGGCCTGTGCTCCAGGTTCCTGCCCTGAGTTCCTGCCTTGGCTTCCCTTGATGATGGACTGTGCTGGAAGCAAAATAAACCCTTTCCTCTCCAAGTTGGTTTTGGTCAGTGTTTCTATCACAGCAACTATAAGCAAACTAGAACAGCTACTGACATAAGGAGCCAAAAGTTCCTCCCATTCAACAGAACAGCAAAGGGTGCCAATCAAAATACTGCACAACAGAAGTGATTAGCTGCTGGGGAGTCTTTGGCTCTGGTAACATGCTTGTACTGTCTGGTCTTTGCAGCACTTCAAACCAGCAATGTTTTACTCTAAGCTCTTATTTTTTTTTTTGCTAACATCTTATGGATCTATTAACTAATTAAAAAACTGCACCTTCTAATACATGACTCCTATCACCAGAGATCAGTTTATCAGACAGCAGTGAGAGCAAGGAAATGGGGAAAACAGTGGACATGCCCAGACAGTCAAAACAGGAGTCAGTGGTGGAGAAAGGGCTACCCCAAGTATCAGGGGCAGGTACAAACATGGGAGATGGGCACTTCCTGTTAACTGCAATCAGCAGGACTCCAATTGTGTGTTTTGGGAAGAAAGGAAGAAAGGTTCTTAGTCCAGTATGGATTCAGAGGCTGACAGAAGCTGATCTCAGTGCATGCTACATTCACAGGCACCTGGTGGAAGATAAGAAACCCCAGACATTTATGGTATGCTCTTAAAAGGAAAACAAAGCCAGGTATGGTAATACACATCTATAATCCCAACACTTGGGAGGCTGAGGCGGGAGGATTGCTCTGAGTTCAAGACCTACCCTGGCTAAACTGTGAGATCAGCTCAACGAAATGGCAGGGGAGATGGTTCAGTGGATACAAGCATTTGCTTTATGATCAAATAATGTAGTCATGTCCATGTGTGCTTAATCATTATCTGATGATCTGAGCTCAGACTCCCAGAAACCGAGTTAAAAAGCAGGACACAGTTGAGCATGGTGGTGCATACCTTTAATCCCAGCACCTGGGAGACAGAGTAGGTGTAGACAGAGTAGGTGTGAGTTCCAGACCATCCAGGGCTACATAGTGAGACCTTGTCTCAAAAAAGCAGCAGGATGCAGTAGCATGTATGGGAAATGGAAGGCAGACACAAGAGAGTCTCTAGAAGCTCTAGGGTCAGCTAGCCTGGCTTCTCTGCAGTAGTGAACAGACAATGTCTCAACAAGTTGGAACAGTGAGGACTGGCACCCAAAGGTTGTGCTCTGATCTCTGTTTGTATGCCCACACCCCTTCCTACACACACACACACCCCTACACACACACACACACACCACACACACACACGAAAAAAGGTTATTCAATTTAAAGAGCAACAACATTCCTTCTCATCCCCCAATATCACTCCCCAATATCTGTCCCCAAAGGACAGACTATGCCTTTATCAACAGAAATAGAGGCAAACAGTCAAACAGAATGTCTCACAGTGATTAAGCATACATACACACGACCCCATTATTTGATCATAAAGAATACTTGAAGTGCACCTAGATAGCCTGATTTTTTTCCAAGGGTGAAATGAGAAATTGTGACTAGCGCTTTGTAAAATATAATTGTTTCACAATAATTTTTCCTCGTTATCATGTAACTAATATGTAATATTTTTTCCTATTCATTGTAACCTGTGATTTATTTAAGGATTGCAAGATGGGCAAGCTAAAGTTTTCAGAAGTTACATGTGGAGCTAGCAAGAGGGGAGGAGGAAGAAATGGAAAGACCGTCAGTTTAATAGAACGTAAGCAGAGGCAAAACAAGTGCGAAAATCCGCTAGGAAAAAAATTTATCTATCACAGGATTTAATTCCAATCTACCAATAATTTACTACCTCAATTTAGAAAGTCATTAAAACAGGCTTTGGCTTTCTAGATCTAAAAACACCACAAATACTGTTTTCCTAAAAAGAAAATTAATTTCTGAAATTTACTTGTAAATCAGGCATGGTGGCACTTGCCTGTCATCCCAGTGCTGTGGAAGTACAGGCAGGACGATCTGGGTTTGAGGCCAATCCAGGCCACCCGGTAAAATCTTGCCTCAAAAAACCAAAAAATTAAAGGTACTTTAAAAAGTTGCTATATCTTATATAAGTCACAAATAGTAATCTTGTGATAAAGTATTGTTTTTCCTTCTCTGAACCTTTCAGGTTCATTACATAAGGGAACTTTGGATAAGAGGAAAGAGCAAAGACGGGAGTTTTCTGAGGTCAGCAGCAAGAGTTCTTAGTAACTGAGAGCTATCAGTCTCTGCTGTAGGAAGTGGAGTATAGCAGTAAACAAGGCAACGCAAAATATTTGCTTTCATGGGTTTTTAGATTCTAGCTTGGAAAATCAGATGACAGACACATAAACATAGGTATGGCACCTAACACTGAATCTGCATGTCAACACAGAATAGGAAAACTCTTATTTTAGTGTAGACAAAGAAAACTAAAAGAGGAACTGGAAAGATGGCTCAGTGGTTAAGGCCATGGGCTGCTCTTGCAGAGGACCCAGGTTCGGTTCCCAGCACCCACATGGTGGTTGACAACTGTAACTCCAGTTCCAGGGCACCCAATGTCCTCTTCTGACCTCCGTGAGCATTGCACGACACAGATGTACTTACACATACATGCATGCAGTACACTCATACACATAAACAAATTTTTTTTTAAGTTAAAAGGTTAACATGCTACTTTCAAGAATTTTGATTAAAAACAATTTCTAACCTCAACTTTCTTGCTTTTTTGATTATATATAATTGAAAGATTAAATGTGAGTCATATACTAAATTTATGTTCAAATGAATAAATACTGTGCTTCTAGCAAATTTAATGTCATCAATTTTGAGCTGTCTTTATTTTTCACCAGCAGGCTTAACTGACAAAAATGTTACTTGGTTCTTTCCTTGTCTTAAAGTGTAACGAACTGAAGAAGAGAATAAGAAGTAAAGGGAGGCAGGATGGGAGAGGAGATGGTAGGCGGGGAAACAGCCGTTAGACACTCAAGCTTCCAGCGCATCACCTAGTGTTAGGCTCATCAAAGCAATACCAAGGGCTAGGGAGAGCTCAGTGGTGAAGAGGAGGACCTGAGTCCAATTCCCAGCACCCATGTAGATGGCTCACAACTGCCAGTAACTCCAGGTCTGGGGGGTTCAGAAGCCTCTGGCCTCTGGAAGTACCTGTGCTCAAGTGTACGGACAATGCCACTGCCCCCAAGAGACAGATGCATATAATTTTATAAAAAGCAATACCAGTTAATCTGAACTGACACTAGAACTAAGGATTGAAACTCTTACTGATGGTCAAAATGAAGATAACCTTTTAAGACACAAGAAATTATGCTTGTAAGTGTCTCAGTGAAGTGTCTCCTGTATCTCCCAACCCAACCCAAGCCCTCTCAGTTTCATGTCTTTCTGGAGAACGATCATATATGTAGCATAAAAACACATGATACTGCTCTAATTTTCCAGCAGCAAAATC